TATATATATATATATATTCCCAAGCTGATTTTAATAATTATACATTTATTTACTTCATTCTTTAAGGCACAGTCAATTAACTATGCATGATAAACAAAAAACTGTATTTGGAAATATACTTCTTTTTATTAAAGAGGAATAGTCACATTGTCCATGTATCACTGTGCCTTTATGTTTACTGTTTATCAGAACAGTAAGATTTTGAAATTCATAATGATAAAGATACAGAATTCATAAAAAAATATTCAGTTAAAAAAAAAATTAAAGCAAAGGCTGTAAAGAAACCATTTTAAAAGACACAGACAGTCGAATGTCTTGAGCAGTTCTTGATATTTTGTTTTATCTTATTCATTATAAAGGAATTTATTTTGGGTAAGAATGAGTATGGAAAATAAATTTCCTGAAAGAAATATTACACTAAAAGTAATTCTTCAGCATTCATAAAGTTAACACTTTTTACCTTGCAAATAGTAACCAACAAGATCTAAAAGAAAATTTCAGAGCTTAAGTGGTAGCCTAATTTTCAAAGTATTAAGAAAAAAGGTAGTTACGAATAATTCTAAGAAAAGTAACTATTTATTAAAATGCCAAGATGAGCTATACTGCCATGCAATTGAAAAAACAATGTAAGTGCTTCACATTAGATATTGAGAAAAGTGGTTTGACAACTATTTTCTTTTTATTGGTAATGATGTAAAAGCTAAAATAGAATTTCAGAAAACTGAAGAAAAAAAATTTTTTTACAATATGTAGCTTATCATTAAAAAGTGACATATATAAAAATAGTATGTCATCAATGCTCAGCCAACTGATACATTTATGGCAAAGCTTTTCGAAAAGCTTTATCTTATACCCAAATAACAAACAAGTACAACTTATCAAACAACAAAATTCAAACATTTTTTTTTAATACAACAAATAATCAATTAACATTTACTCAATACGCCAAGAAATACGTCTAACAAGAAAAGAAACTTTTCAAAAAGCTTTACTTTAAAAGTAAAATTCTATTTCCAAGTACAAATAATTAAATTATAAAATTGAAAAAAATAATACATACACAGTAGGCACATATTCACCAGGGAAACTGTCTGTAGTATATGATATAAGCATACATGTTTTGCCTACTGTTCCATCGCCAACGACGACACATTTTATAGGTCTTCCGGCGGAGACACTACCTGCTGGAGCCCTCTGCATCAGAAATATTGGATGTACCTATTGCGGGAAAAAAAATCTTTAATTCTATAATCATACAAGTTTCATAGAGTAACATTTTGCATACCATAGAGTTCAATTTTTCACTTCTTAAGAACTTAATGCTTATACTTTTTTTGATAAATAAACGTAATAAAATTAATCAATATTTATTTTAAATTTTAGTTAATTTATTGCACTTTCCTTGAGTTAATTGGTTTTTACAATTTTTTGACTTTTAATTTAAATGAAATAGAAGGCGAGTCAGTTTATATTACCAAGAGTGAATTAAGAAAAATTTAATATCAATATCAAGTTTTAAATAATAATAAAAAAACAAGAAATTGCAATATTTTTGTAATGTAAAAATTATTATTTTTAAATTTATTGACAAATAATAAGTAAAACGTTACACGTATAAAAAAAACATGCGATAAATTATTTTTTTTCAGAGATTTAGAGTAAATTTTAAACTTTTAAGCTATGAGAAGCTTTAATAATACCCTTACAATATAAAATACAAAAATTAGTAAATTTACTGATTTATAACTTATGATAATGAAATAAATTTTTGGAAAATGTCTAGTAGTTATATGAGCAATGCCATTTTGGGTAAGTTGGACCAAATGTGTCAAAGATTTTCTTAAGCACCTAAATTTTAGTATAATTAGGTACACAATTAGGAACAACTACAGTAAAAGTTCGTGGCAATCTTGTGCAAAAAATACTTGTTTTAACTCATATTAGAGCCTCAGTTAATGATATAAAGTACAATAAAAATTTTGAGCTTAATTTAGATGTATCACTAGGTTAAAATAGAAAAGGAAATAAAAAAGGAACAAAATAATGAGTCGTAACAGATAATGTAAGGCAAAAAAATAGCATTCTGAAATAAAATTTAAATAAAGAGATATTTTCAATTAAATCACACCATTAAATACATTAAATTTAAAACATTTAGGAAATATATAACACACCAAACACAGCCATACATAACAGTTTATAAAATTATTTATGAATCGTTGTATAGAACATATATAAAGTGCAAATAATATCTGATTCAATAATATTAAAGTTACTTTAAACAGAAAATTATTCTCAAATAATGACTTTACAGAACATACAATTAAAGTTTAAAGAATAAATTATTATATAGCATGATTGTATCCAAAATCTGCATTTATATTATCACAACATTTTTAAAGATTTTTTTATCTATTATTCATTTTTTTCACATATAATTATTATAAATAAACAATCATGTGAAACAATTAAAGTTGAAAGTGTTTGCAATTTATACTGCGATATAAAATAATGTTAAGTAACAAAATCTTTGTGGTTGAGTATTTGTCATTCTATCAAAATATGTTTTTGAATTTTAATTGAATTGGGCTAATTGTCGGTATTCGGTCTTAGTCTGAATCAATACTTCAATTTCAGAGTAATTTAGGTGATTTGTTATCGTATTAAAATTTTACTATAACTAAGCAAAGGTAATGTGAAAGTAAGATTTGGAGAAATTAATGAAATACAACTTCAAAGTATATATTAAGTGCAGAATATGAAAACTAATATGCAATATAATATCGTAAGTTATGTAACAAATAACTCAGGAAAAGTTTTTTAAGCTATGATAATTGAAAATTCAACAAAAAAATAGCTAACTAAAACAAAAGGCAGCAAACAATAAAGCCGATTGTAGTATATCCACCAATTTCAAAACTTTATTTACACTACAATTAAATTTAGTTTAGCGGTATTTCTAACTCTTGATACTTAAGGTGCTGATGAACAGAAACAAATGAAGATTGCAAGAATAAAAGAAAAGTGATTCTAAATTGTTACAATCAATAAAAAGCACATACCTTTTGATTAAAAAAATTATTTTAAATTTTTTATCAGAGCGTCAAGCAGAGATCACACAACACCAACCCCAACAAAGATTTTCCGTCCGGCGAAAATTTTCCAGTTACCACCCAAGAAATAAAATTTCGAATAAAGCAAAATGTTATTTTAATCCTTCAAAGTAATCAAACAGGAAGAAGAATCAAAATAATATACAATTTAAGTAAGAGTGTTCGTGCTATTTTTTATTATTTAAAAATTAACAATGTCGCTTCTGTTTCATGATGACTCATTCTATATTGTGTTTGGAAAATTGGCAACTGAAGTGTATGTCACTTTGAGTCGCGAAATGTAAACAAACAACCAAAAAAAGTCGACGGTAGTTATTTTTGTTATCTATTTTGACAATTTTTTAAAATTTATAGAATTCGAAAAATAGTTTTTATTAATAGCTTTTTTAAAGAGTTTTTTCTTACAAAATTCATATATATTGTTTTTCGTTTTCTTTTCAGACGTCATATAATTTGTCACTACTATTTTTACAAAATAAATTTTACCTCTTTTTTTGCGATAAAAAATTGTTTGTTTCCCACCACTTATCAGAACAATTTTTTGTAACAATCGTCACACAAATTTATCTTTATGTTATTTTAATTTAATGTAAAGAACCGATAAAAATGGGTCGTAAAGGAGGAATCTTCACAGTTTAATTGATTACAAATATACGCTATATTTTAAAAATGAAGTATCTACCTATATTCATTAGCAATTTTCAGCTTCCTAAAAAACATATTTTTACCATATGGTTTTATTTAAATAATCGAAAATAAAATACCCCTTTTAATTGTGCGATCTTTGTTTTTTAGAATAAATTAATGCAGGTTTGTTGTTGAAGTAATTCTATCTTTTTAATTTTTGGATGTTTATCCAGCTGTTAAATACTACTGTTAATTACTTCGAAAAACTCGCCCATATTTCCCAAAAATAATGAAATTGAATTTTCATAAATTTAATAATCTAAATTTCTTTTCTGTAATAAAAACTAAATATTAATTTGATTCTAAATCTTTTTTTTTATTGATATTGTTGAAAAATTATATTAACATAGCTAAATATACAATGCTTTTTTATTGAACTAGAATTATATTTTTTAAATGAATACTTTGGCTAGCAATTTACCACCTACCCATATTTTATTTTTTTCAGTTAAGATATTCATTAATCTCATATTAAACTGTTAATATGTCATTTTCTTTATTTATTTGAAAATTAGAATCTCAAATATTGAAGCTAACATTCTTATAATTTTATTTACATTCTTTTAATGACTTAAATTTCAACTAAATATATATTTTATTTTCTTATTACTCTACTTTGTAATTACAATAAAATATTTAATCTATATTGTTATCATACTTACTTCTTATCACTGATTCTAATACAAATGTTCTATTTTTAAAATTTTAGTTGAGCAAAATTAGCAGAACAGCCATGCCATTTAATAGTTTAAATGGTAAATATGTTAATTCTAAGTCAATTGAGAGACTTATTTCAATAAAAGATGATGAGAACATACCAGGTGTTGAGGATATTTCGATCATTAGTGCTTCTCAAGATATTAAACAGGTAATTCTTTACTATTTTTGAATGATTTAATTTTTCTTATTACTGTAACAGCTTAAAAAAATTGTTAGAGCTTTGTCTTTATTTCCTTGATGTAATTTAATAAGCACAAAAATCTGCCTGATAAATTTTTTTAAGAAAAACTTGCTTTAAGATTTATAGCCCATTGCTTATGACACTTAGCATGGTGAAGCCAGTAATTTTGGTCCTCTTATTATACCAGCCGTATGTTAATTATACCTTTTTTTATGTTTTATAATATTTTTGTACTCTTTTATCAAATGCGTACCAACTTCAATTACAAAATTATTTCAACTCAAAGCAAAAATGTCAACATCTTTTTAAATAATATTTAATACCATAAATCATTAGTGAAGTATAAAAACATCTAAATTTACTGATGTGTTGCAGTATAACCTAAAAATTATCTTGTTGAAATCAGTGACTCTGAATACTGCTTAACTCTAATATTTTGCACAAAATTACAAAAATAATTATTTCTTAACTTTGCTTAATAATGTTTCTGACTGTAAAAATGTTTTATGTTTTTTTTCCATTTCCATCGTGGAAGCCTATTTAGTCTAACCTCTTTTTCCATAAGCTTCATATCCAAAATTATCCTTCCAAATATTTTTCCATGGTATGGAAAATTATAGACTGAAACTATTTTTATTAACTGTATCCATTGTATTAAATTTTGGTACTGATATTGGTCTAATGTCAATCAAAAAATTATATGAATATCATTTAAAAAGTGTTTCAACTTGTTTCTTGACTTTTCTCAAAATTAAATAACTTTGAAAATGGGTTCTTTATAAAGTAATATGGTTGGGTATCATATAGCCAGATTAATCAATTAATTTTGTTGTTCCATAATGCCCCTGATAATATGGTGAATCTACAAACAAAGACCACAAGCAATGAAAGTCAATTTTAAAATAAACTTAGAGTACTCTATCTTAACATGATATCTCTTTCTTCTTCTTCTTTTTTTTTTTTTTTTTTTTGCGCCTAAAAGTATTTTCTAATATACAGTTTCAAAATTTTTCAATAACTTCAAATTGTTAAAACCTCTGCAACTATGCATAGATCGTAATATTTTATTTAAATTAATTAAGATTCTGTCAATAAAATAATCTCGCTTCCATTGTCTGATCCATGTCAATCATTTACGACAGATTAATATATTTAACTGGTCGAATTCTTAAATATTTCCTTTTCTGGTTTAAATTTTTATCCTCATTTATTATCTGAATGCAGTTTAATTAATACATTCATACTAATGCGTTACTTTAACCTTAATTATGCTGATGACCAATAGTTGTGTTAATGTTTGAACTAAGTGCAGAAAAAATAACTTTTCAAAAGTTCCCTTTTCTCAATTCATATAATTTTTTTTCCAGATTAAGGAAATAATTCGAAATAATCACTGGAGTATTGACCATCCTATTCGTCAAAATTTATGGGAATGCTTGACTAATCAAATATCCACTGATGAGCACATTGATATTTATCATGAATTAGTAAAAGATCTATTTGGTAAATGTTTTTTTTTTTTCATTTATATTTTGTTAGTCTTGTTTTTTATGGAAAAATTTCTTGGAACAAAAAATCTTATTTTTTACTGTTGATATACTATCTGCTAATTTTAAATCAATGAAATCTTGTTTTCTTTTCAATTCTTATAGTATGCTTTTTTTGCTTTATAATTAAAATTTAAGTGAAATTTATTTAAAAATCTGAATTATTCATAGGGGGACCTTGTAGTTTCATTTCATTAAATTAAATTTTTTAAACTGATGCTTGAAAGTTTGATTAAACTGTTGTAGTACATGGCATATATATGTTAACATAACTGTTATAGTATGTGGCCATTTATAGTATATGGCACATATATGTTCAGAAATTTTTAGAACCAGTATGTCAAAACTTTTACTAAAAAGAATAATATTAGGTTTTTTTCTATGTTAGAGGTCCTACAAACTCACCACTTTTCTAGGCTATTTAGTTATTGTAAATTGATATACTTTACAAACACACAAATTCTAATTATTGGAATCCATCTCCAATGGGTCCATATTACAATAGCTTTCACTACTGTCTTCTTTTTTTTTTTCCTTTTTTTTTGTAATATCTTGTCAACTAAGAAGTTTAATATAGCTCAGAAGGTTTTTATACAACATGGTATTCTGGCATGTGATGGATATTTCATAAGCATCTTAATATTTTGTACTTTTACATGATACCTTACTTATGCAAATGGGACTTGTCGTTCATGAAAAGTTTTTTGATTTCTCCAGCTTATAAAATTCACTATTCAAGTTTTGAATTTTGAAATTTAAAATAATTTTCAAGAGTAAATCAAAACACTCACCCTCAAGACAAAACAAACTGCACTTATAATAGAAAGGATAACATTTCGTTATTATTTTATTTTTCTATATCTCTGACAAATATATTCTTATTTCTTTTCTAACATTCTATTTTAGAATTATTAGTAATTTAAAGCTTATGTTTTCTATCATTGACTGTTTAATTTTTATTTTTGGGAGCCATTTATTACAATTGCATTTGGCATTTGAACATTTTACTTACTTTATACAAGTAAATAAAAGAAAATTAGATTTTTACATTTCTAAAGTTAAATAAAAGACTTTGAAACAATACTGCTCAATAATCAATTATGTAATTGTTCTTTTAAAAATATTCTGTTAAATATGTTGTTTTCTATTCTTAACAATTTTATTTTCAGGCGACAACTACTACAATTGCAGTTTGCCTTCATTTGTAGATCCAGCCTACTGTATTCGCTATCATCTGAATACAGATGGAAAACAAACAGTGGAAAAAATCCTTCAGATTATTCGTCAGTCAAAGCCAGATATAACATATTGCCCTGTTTTATACCCATTAATAAGCATCTTTTTACATTACATGTCTGAAGAAATGGCTTATTCTTGCACAATGAAGATATTATCAGACAAACAAAATTACATTTCACAAACCAAAGGAGATCATACAGCTTCTGCCTATTTAGTCATGAAGCTCTGTAAAAAATATGCTGTAAGCATTTTTTTTAGCTAAAAAATCTTAATTTTTTGTGTATTTGTTTGTTTAAATTAATATCAAGCTCTGTCATTTTAATTATAAGTTGAAATGCTCAAATATTAATATCTAAATCTCAACTAATCTTATATTCTGAGATAAATATATGACAGTATAAACCTTATTATGTTAAAATATGCAATGAATAGTATTCTATAATAACTCCCACTTTCTATCTTCAAAATTTGTCTTAATTGGAAACTATTTATAATAACTTCTGTCATATATTTATTTTTAAGTTCAAGATCGATTACAATCTGCTATTTTTGTTCTATGATAAATATTTGAAGTAGTGGTGAAAAATTCATTTGATAAATTTGGAATACTTTCCTTTTCAGTAGTCAAGATGTTGTTAAGTATCAACAATTAGTTATAATATTGTGATGTTGTCCCTGGGAGCCAAAAATTAATATTAGATAATAGAGTTGTAAACAGACTGTGGGGATCATATCTGTGTGTCACAAGTAAAGGACACCATGTCCATTTGTTTCAAAAATTGAGTTAATACCATGCTTATGTTGTAGATTTTTCACTCTGTCTTGTGGTATAGGGCACTTATGTTCTGTCATAGTAATTGGTGAAGTTAGGCAGTTTGAAAAAACACCATGTCCAACTTTCTCTAGAGATACAAGATTGTAAAATCTGCTTTCCTCAAAAATTACATTTGTGTGACATGGTGTCTTTTACCTCTGACGTACAACTAATTATTTTTAGAAGTGTTTCAAAATTAAATTGTGCATCTCTGAACATTAAGATATATCTTTTGAAAATTTTACATAAATTTAACTCTCCACTTTAAATGTTGTCAACATCATATGCCTAGATATAGCTTTTGTATCAACAACTTTTCATTACGAGCCATTACTTGAGGATCCACCATACATCTCTACTTTTGATCTGTATTTTCAGTAAATTTTATGACCTTTTCAACAAAACTAAGCCATTTTATTTTCTGTAGATTCATTAAAATGGTTCATAGAAAAAAATTTTGGAATGTCTTTTATTTGTATCTTCTTTCATGTTTTTCAAATCATGTATAACATGCATGTCAAAACTATGATATCAGATTTCTTTCTTCTATTTTTATTTTGATGTTTAAGTTCTTAAGAACAAGCCATTTAAAAATGGCTATATCTTGTTAAAAATATTAGACCGTCTTATAGAGAAAAATATATGAACTCTAGAAAATGGCAAGTCATCAAAATTTGTTCACTTAAAATATGCTTTTCTTTATTAACTCCTTTTATTATTATTAATGAATTTTTTTAATGACACAAAATGTAAAGGTTTTATATCCTTGACAAAAAAGAGTTGAGTTTTGTTATATATCGATGCTAAAGTCCTAGATGTTATCTGTTATTAATCTGATTTTACAATCTGTTTAATCAATCCTGATCATAACTTTCTGCAATTCATTTTAAACAAGAAGTTTTGTATTTCATTTATACATCACATTCATATAATAAAAGTCAAGTCTTATTTTAATATCGTATCTATGTTGCACAAATATTAAGTTTCCAATACCTTTGTAGCTGCACTAATTTTTTATAACACTTTAAGGAATACTCTACCTTTTGTCACAAAACCCAAACTAAATCTTGTAAATTGGAAACAATTTTTAAAAAAAACACACACACATGAAGTTATTTTTAAGCTTTTAGAAAGCATCTTAATTATCATTTAAAAATGTAAATTTTCTGAGCCTATTACAGTTAGGTTTAAACAGAAAGCAGTCTTTAAATATATTTAGTAATAATGTTTTAACAAAAAAGACAAAAGTAAAAAATTGTTATTATAGTTTTTCTGTCCAGCAAAAATCATTCTTAAGATGAATTTTTCCCCTCTAAAAAGCACCCATGCAACTTTTCTGAAAAGTCTAAAGATATTAAAAAGTAAAGAATAGCATTACCCTTAAATATGCATTCACTTTCAGTTTAAATTTCAGTATTAATATTTTGTACGAAAGTTTATGATGGCATAAAAGCAACTATATGTGTGCCCATGAAATGAAGTGCTCTTGTGATTCAGACGATTAGGAAATCACTGACACGCTAGGCCATACTCGAGGGATGAAGTGAGAGACAATTGTCCTGGGACCAGAGGTTACTGGCAGTTCAGTTTAAATTCCTTACAAAAGATGCATTTTTAACTATTTTTTCTGAAAAGAAAATTACTGAAAATTCTTTTATAGCAACTTAAAAACTAAAATTTTTAATAAAGTGTCTTCAAAAATCCTATAAAATAGGACTTTTGTGCTTTGAGGAAAGAGCCCACCATGAATTTCATCCTGGGACCTGTAAAACCTGTATCCTAACTTGTTCAATCACTGACAGAGAACCAGAGATAGTGAGTTTAGTCCTTACAACAGACCAGCAACTGATGTGTGCTTAGATGCTGTCCACCTTCTCTGATTTGGTCTAAATTACATGGAAATCCTATTATGGCCATTCATTGATAATTCCCTGAAAGACAGTGTTAGATGCAAAAGTAAAATTTGTATTTTGTTCACAATGAAATAAAAAAATTAAGTGTGTTAATATATTAAGCAAGCATGTTTAACATCGTATTATGAATAAGGTTTCTTTATATTTCTCATCATTGTGTTTATTTTCATTAAAGAATAATTGTTTTGTTTGTTTAAATAGAAAAATGCTTATCTTCAACTTGAAAAAGAACTCAAAGAGCATGAAGACTTGGAAAACATGTTTCAAAATTGGATATCCTGGATTTTTAAAGGATTACCATTCACATATTTGGTATTTATTTCTTTTTTTTTTATCTTAAGCTAATGTTTTACTTATGACTCAGAAGTAATAGCTCTTGCTTAACTGATCTTGTATTTAACAACATTATGTTATTATAGAAATATTTTCAAAGTTTGTAATATTTTTTAAAGTTTGCTAAAAATTCATGATTATAATAAAATGCACACTTATTGGAGGTGAATTGGTATCAGTATATTTGATACTTTATGCTTAACACTTAAAATTATGAAGTACTTTAAATGAATATATCATGAAGTTCAATTAGTATAAATTATTCTTTCAAAATATAATATTTAGTAAATTCAGAACAGTACAGCTTTAGCTTCTGCTTAGTACAGCTTTAACTTCTGCTTAGTACAGCCCTAGCTTCTGCGATAATTACTTTCAATTATTTAATGTTATTCTGAGTTCTTACTTTTGTCACCATATTAATTGTGTTTTATATTTTAAGGCTAGGACTTTAATTAAAAAAATCAATTATCAACTAAACTTACTCTTTTTCAGATTTTGTGTAATAGTGTATGTATACATTTTGTTTATTTCTTCAATTATTTGTGATCAGCAGTTTATAATCTACCCTAAGCAATTTTTTTTAATAACTTGACAGTTTCTTTTTTTTCTAATAATATTTAATTAGAAAATTTTTAATTTTCTGCCAATAAATTAATCATTGTCATTTGATAGATTTTGAATTACATTGGAAAAGTTACCTACAAATAGCATAAATACAATTACTTATAACTAAATTTTTTTAAATTTTCTGCCTTTATTTATTTATTTATCTAATGGCTTTCCTCATTTTAAGTATGGTCAACTTTTATTTTTCATTTATTTCTTGAGTGAAATTTATGGAACAGTAAGTTAAAGTTTTCCTTTGTCATCTACACATTTGGCTAATTTTTTTACCGGACAGATTTGTAAATGCATAGGTTTCTTAGGAAAATGTCTTTTTTTATGAAACATTTGTGTTTCAAATTTAAGTCAGGACTTTTTTTATATAATGTTTTGATTTCCCCTTTAGATAAAGGGAGTTGGAAAACTATTTATAATTTATGTTTGTTTCTTTTAAAGTATTTATAAAAAGCTACTTAAAATAAGTGATACTGCAAAGGGATGGATAAGTATTCCCCAATATCATTAATAAAAACATTTATAGTTGCTACTTAAAGTTTATTGTAAATGTTTTTCCAAGCAAAATGTATTTAAAAATGAATTCAATATTATTTCAGTTCACTATTATTCTGCATTTCGTTTCAATTTAATCATTATTTGAATTATTAATTTAATTAAATTTTTTTACTGGGTTCTCCAAAATTAATCAAAAAAGGGCAAATTATATTTTAAAAAAAACAGGTGGTGATAAAAATTTGTGACTTGGCATCTTCTGCTAAGGGATCCAAAGGGCCAAGTTTTAAAATACAGTGAAACCTCTCGGAAGCAACACCACTCACCGATCCACAGTAAAATGGTCATTGATGGAGGTTGGTCACTCTTAGAGGTTGCCTCCATTGACTTTGAAATTGTTATAGAGGATGCATGATTTTTCGCAAATGATTTTAATATTTTAATTTTAGTCGGTGTCACTTTCTTGGAGTGGAAATGTTCTGTTGGCTTCATTAAAAGATGTATCAATGAATAAAATTTAGTGCCTATAAAAGGGATCCCAACTGATATAATCATGTGTAAAAACAAATTTACCAATTTTCAATGATAAAGATATTTTAAATAAATAAACAATTATGCTTTTTTTTGGGTTTAAGTTTGCATTTAATTTTATATCACAAAAATTACTTAGCTTTAAAAGATGAGAAGAGGCTTGTTTGTCTGGGATGCCTGTTTTTTCTAAAATAAGTTTTTTTTAAATTGACTTGTGACTTGTGAAATAAATCATTGATAGCATCGTCTTTAGTGTACTCTGAATGCAGCAAGAGGTTGTATCATCAAAAAGAGCTCTCTAAATAAGTGCTTCACACAAATATTTTAAAAACATTTTAATCTACTAATTTTTTTGTTTTGTTATTTTTTCTTGTTTCCTTAATTGACCTTTTCCGCATTTAATGCAGATGTTTTCCCGGTCATTGGGAGAGGTTTTAATGATCTTTCCTCTCAGAAGTAGTTGTAAATAGAGGTGATCTTTCCTGGAGGTTTCACTGTATAAAGTTTGTCAAGGTGCTAGTAACTGAGAACAACTATAATATAGTATATTCAAAATAAATACTATTTGAAACTCACACAGTAACATTTTACAATTAGTATAAAAATTAAATTGACAAAGGACCTTGCAAATATTTTAGCTAAAATAGTTTGATATGCTGCCCAAAACAATATTTTATTGTTGTTTTCAATCAGAAATGCCATATGTTGACATTTTGTGTTACTAATTTTAAAACTGGTTCACTGAGCAAAACCCAGTACATTACTATCTTTGTGCATTTTTTTTTATTGATTTCTCACCTACTCACAATTATATATAAGTATACAATTAATTTTTTGAACATTTAGTATTACTTCCTAAATTTTTTTGCAACTTATATGTGCATTTTTTTCATTGACTTATATTCTTATTTAAGGTTCGCATTGTTGATTGTTTCCTGGTGGATAAGAAGAAAAGCTTATATCGAATAGTTATTGCTTTGTTGATACTATATAATAAAAATGTTGGTGAGTATCCTTGTTATGAAAAAATTTCATATGTTAAATTAGTTTTTATATTAGTATTCGTTATTATTGTATAATGAATTAAAAATTCAACAAAGTCGGTTTTTTAGTTAACTATTTCTCTAATTTTAATTCAATCAAAATTATATGAACTTAATTAATTATAAGAATTTATCTATTTTATATTATTTTACTTGCTGAAAAAGCACTAAAACACTTCAAGTTACTTTTTATTAATAAGTTAAGTGTATAATTATATTTAGCTGCTCATTGTACTAACTGGTGGCTACATTATAATAAGGAAAAAAAATTTTCGCTTGTCTTTAACTTTTTGTAAGTTCTATATTTTAGAGGGGGGGGGGAATTCATTGCATAAAATTAAATTATATGTATTTTTTGATAAAATTTATATATGTATATTTTTGCTGATTGTATTTTTAATTTGTGAGCTGAAACTAAATAATTCCTTTGAGATTTAGAAAATTGCTGGTATTTTTTATTAATATCTGTTTACTATCATATAGTGAATTAATTGTATGCATCCTTATTGTCATTTACTTTATGCCTGAAAAATTGTTACTTAACACCCATATTTAGAACTTTATTAATAATTTTAAATTTTATGCATTTTTAACTATTTATATAGCTTTTTAATGTGTCTTTTTCCTCGTATTAAGTAGAATGATATTATCACAATGAAACTGAGCATCACTTATAGATTAACTTAAGTAAAAAAAATTAGTCTAAGAATATTTTCTAAAGATTTAATTAACTCTTATCTAAAAATATAAGTATCATTTCTATTCTTTCTATATTAGCTCTATTTTAAAGAGTGCAGTATCTCAATATTTGAATTAGGGGCTTGGTCTAGTGAGTGGTAACACTGTCTACCTTAAAAAGGGTGTATGTAAGAAATCAGCATTTTTTTTATTACAAATAAACTTGTGGGGGTGGAGTTAACGCCCATGCCAACCTTCATCTATCAAAAGGTACCTCGTGATTGAATCAAGTTAGCACGTCTTATATACCAGTGAATTGATGTTTAATATTCGTAGTGGTACTTACGCCACAATACTCCCCCACCAGAATTTTATCAGGGATAGAATTCGATGAACGGATACCACTGGTTGCTGTACTTAAGACCGGGAGAGAGAGTCACCGGGTGTGTGAGTGCTGAAAGTGAGAGGTGTATTAATTTCACAGTCGTAGTTGCTCCTGTGTTGCCATTAGCAGTTGAGTGTATGCAGGCTGACGTTGTGTTAAATCGAGACAAGACTGAGTAGCAACAGCGTGAGGAGGATTGGATAATGTCTCATTCATAAGTAGCAAGTCAACTGTTTAATGTGAACCATCCATCGAAGTAGGCGTCACCGTCAAGTTATTATGCGAATTGGGCGTTACGGCGAGTACAAATCACGTCCAGAGGTCACCAATGTGGGGGCGGTGTTATCGACAATGCAAACCTTCATCTATCAAAAGGTACCTCTTGATTGAATCAAGTTAGCATGTCTTATATACCAGTGAATTGATGTTTAATATTCGTAGTGGTAGTTACGCCACAAACTTAAGGTAAATTTTTAACTTATGCATTGCCTTTTCTAAATTGTGTTAAGACATACCCCAAGCCACTTTATCTTTAAAAGATATTTATGGTAATAAACACTGAATTTTTTGTTTGTTTACATTTAAAACAAACTTTTTTTTAAAAAATGTTTTTAATCACAGACAAATCAACTTCTGAAGATCTTGGAAGTTTGCAAAAGTTAATGGATTTTTTCCAAAATATTCCTGTTCCTGTTGAAAAAGTCCTTAAAGTAATGTATACATTATAGTATTTTATCAACTCTTTCTTTGCGTTGTCTTTTTTAATAAAGTAAATGCTGTTTGTTGTAAAAAAATTTTTTGTCTACTTACTCGTGTCAAATAACAATAAGTTTTTGAAATTTTTTAAATTATTGCATCTAATAAAATGCATCTAAAATGAAGCAAGATTGCGTAGCAAAAAAGTAAAAAGCTTCAATAACCGTAGATAAACACCTCATTTTTTTTATAAGATTTAAATTAATTAGTCATCGTGAGTTTATCACCCTTTTGGAAAGGGAGGTACCAGATATTTCAGCTGTTCACTGCGTGATTCACAGACAGTATTTAGTATGAAAAAATCTCAGTGACCGTTTGCATCAATCATTGCAATATGCCATATCTGCTGTGAACAAAATTCACAGTAATGCTCTCTAAGATCGATTATTTAGACAACTGTGTAAGAAAAACCATGAAGAATTCAATCGCTTGCAATATACACCGAGATTCACTGACTTTCCAAAAGCTTCTGTCTCAATAGGTATTGGAATCTTTTCGACTCTGTGCTTGAGGTCCTCGAAAACAGAAATGTAGCTCTAAGAGACAGATTGCTAGAATTTAAGAATGACTTTGGCTGATTTATCTGTAAAATTTAATGGTATTAATGTACGACTTAAAGGCGACGAGCTCAAATCGATCCCTACAAAATAAGTTATTTTCGCCTTTCTGAAAAAACTGATTTTGTTTTAGCAGAATTTTGGTTGGAATGAGTTCAGCCATGCAGGCAAAATTCTCTCTGATGATGCACATGCACAAGAATATTTTCAACACCTTGACTCTTTGCACATGGACTTTTCTGACCACTTTAAAGATGTTTTGTTCCCTCGAAGTCCCTCAATGGGTTTATGAACCCTTTTGTAAATATTGAAACAGCAGAGGTTCAGATTTACGAGGAATTGGTCGAACTTTTAACTAATGAAACTTTGAAATGGTAATCGTCTCACAGAATTTTTACTTAACACTAAAAAGACTGAAATACCTATATTGCTCAAAAGCAGTCAAAATGACTGCATAGAAAAACTAATGAATAAAGAAAGCATAACTAATGTATAAAGAAATTTTTTTTAAATAAAATTTAATATTTTTGTTATTATTTTCAGTTACATAACAAGTTATTTGTAAATATTAACAATAAAAAAATTATATGTTGTACAAAAAGTCACAAAATTGTAAGAAATTGTGTTATCATTGTTTTTCTAATTGAAATTAAAAAGCAGTCAAAATGACTTCCATGGGCAATCTAGTGTTAAAGGTAACAGTCGTCTCTATCTTGGACTGTAGACTATCGTTAAAAAATTTTTTAATTGCGTTCCCTGCCTCCTAACTTGTCGAATGTGGATTCAGTGCTGTTACGGATCTTGTCACAAAAAGAAGAAATCGACTCGAAATTGTGCAAACGTGGGTATTTGCATCTTCATCTCACTAAAAGTATTGAACCGAGCGTTAAGGAATTGGTTCTGAACCATTAAGTACAATCATCCCACTAACATAGTTACTTGAATGTTTTGTTAATACTACTTTTTAGTGTTACAAAATTATTTTGGGTGTTATTTTAATTATCTAATTTAGAATAAATTATTCTTTTTAAGCATAGGTTTCTTAGTTGTATTTTTTTTTCATTAAACATATTTATTTTGATCATAACAAATAAACGGCGATTACCTGCCGTGAGAAAATTATCAAGTTAATTTATTCTTTTTTAAAAAACCAAACAAATTCAAAGCGTGAAAAAATTGCTTAAAAATTTGCCTCTTATAATTCAGCACACATCCCTCCGTCTCCATGCTCAAAATAGCAGGATTTTTATAAAGGGGGGCGTTGAAATATTTTTTGCTCCTTAAGGGGGCTGCAACGTTAAAAAGGTTGAGAACCTTTGCACTAGATAAAGTACAAAAGAAAGTGAACATCTTAGGTAATTAACTGAATAATTAGAATTAAAATGTTTTGTTGGATTTTTATTGTAAATATTCTATAATAATTTTTTGAAAAAAAATTTTCTTGACACTAGACACATAAACAACAATCGACTTATTGTTTTTATGAAGGTTTAACAATTTCAGAGAGTAGGTATATTGAAAGTATTTTATAATTGCTCAAAATAAAATTCTCTTTTCAACAGTAAACCCAACAGCAGTAATCAACTGATGGTTTTTATGTGATAAAGATGAATTTAAGTGTGACTGATGTATGTAATGTTATACATTTCTCTTTCCTCTGTGTTTTAAATAGATTCTAATAGATAGTTCAGTAGATAGTTCTAATAGATAGTTCTAATAGATAGTTCAGATTCGTGCTTTATTTAAATTTATTAACGACTTACCAGTTTCAGGTGGGCACTGCTTCAAGGTTAAATTTACTAGTATTTTCTTCTTAAATAAAGTGTTTTTTACACATTCTTTCTTTTGAAATCTATCCTTTTTATAAAAAATGCTCTCATTTTGTTATTATTTTAGCAAAAGTTAATAAGGTTAGAAAATATTTCATAACTCTAAAGTGTTTCCATCTTTAACTCACAGAACAACAATATTGTATGTTTGTTATGTAGATTCGTCATTGTTACTCAGTATCTATTTTTTTAAATAGTTATTTTTCTTTTTAATTCCTATTTCAGATGGGATATGGCATACGAGGATTCAGTGAAAAACTTGTGAACCAACAACTAGTCAAGGTACAGATGACCTTAAAAAGTCATACAAATCTAGGAGGACGATCACAATCTGCAGATAGATTGTCCCCTTCACAATCTGGATATCATTTGGGGATCAACTCATCAGATCAACCTATTATCAGACAAGTATACTGATTTTAGATATTTGTTTTCTCATACACTTTAAAAGTTCAATTAATTAATTATTTTTATATTGTAATAAATAGAAATTTATTATAGTTTTTTTTTCAATACTTTTAAAGATAGATTATTTTTCTGTAGATGGCACCACTACGGTAAAGTTTAAATTCAATCATAATAATAATATTTTTTTTAGAAATTTTGAATTAGTCGTTTAAAATGGAATTTTTGGGGTGAAATCTGGGTAACTAAATTTATTAATATTTATTGAGGATGGTAGTATAATTTCTATGGTGTATTGGTGGATTTATGACTGTTTTTTCTCAGGGACTTTTTTTTTTGGTTCTGACGTCCGCCGGATGGGGGATGACTCTGGACGTGGTAAACAGGTCAGTCTAGATTCTTTCGCCTTGTTGAAGAGAGGATAAAAGAGAAGCGATGAATGTGGCTAGGCGCAGTAGTAAAAGGGCAGTAGTAATCAGCAGTAAGCAGTTAACCAGACCAGTATCCTGGGGATACGGAGTTTGTTCGCTGAAAGAGTGGTCCGAAACAGTACCTCGGAGATGGTGGATCGTAACCTTAGGGAAAGCTAAACTGAAGTCTCTAGCGGGAAGGACTACCGAGATTAGCCGAAAGCCGATATCCTCGAGACGATGGGCCAAGTCCGAGGGAATCTACGCTGGACGTCTGGTGTTCCCCTTCTACATGCCTAAGCCTCTTGAAGTTAGAATAGCTGGAGAAATTTCGAGATCCTAGCCGAGGAGTTTGTCCATGAGTTCATCTACCATTCCAGTGGGCGGTTCCAGAGAGCAAACAGTAAATTCTTTTGGGTACTTATAAAACTTTAAATTTTATTTCATTAACATTTTAGAGGAATCATTTACCGTAAATTCTGAACTGTTATGTTGTGTTTTTTTTGTGTAGGAGAACAATCAGTATTTAAGTGTGATTTATAGATATCATAAACCAAGTCTGTGTTTTTAGTAATGTTAAATGCAGTTTTTATTTTTTAAATGTCTTTTTTGAACTGTAGTAATTGAAGGTTATGCTTGAGTGTTATAAGGTTGCATTTTAATTTTAATTAATGTATAAATGTTTATTCCCATGTTAGCATTTGGAAATGTGTGAAATTATGTTTTTTGAAGATTTAGAGGTGCAATAAAAATGAGTTTAAAATGTTAAAAGTTTTCTGTAATTCATTAGATATTTGTCTACTAAATAACCTGGGTAACCGTTACTAAATTTAAATTTAAATCTTTTCTTCCTTTTTATGTTCATTTAGTGTTTTTCTATTTATTCAAAACTCTTTTTATAGTTGAAAATGGATTCATCTTGTCGAACGAGGTCTGTTGGTGTTGTGGCTTTGGGCAACTTCAAATCTTGCATTATCACCCCTGAACAGGTAAATTATTCATACAAATTACTGGATGATTTTTTTTTAATTAAGTTTATTTTATTTGTGACAGCAACAATTTTAAGCCACTTAATAAAGTGGTATTTGTTCTGCTTTAGAGAATTTTTAATAAATAATAATTTTTTATGTTAATATATTTTTCGATTTGATAATCATTACAATTTACGATAATCATTTCAATCAATCTGTAGTAATTTACAATTTCAATCCATGCAAACATTATTGCTATGATTCATGATAGCTTATATAGCTCATATAATGGTAAGATGAGAGATCTTCATGAATGTTGAGATGAAATAATATTCTATCATAATTTTAAGATTAAGTATTAAGAATTTTATAATTATGCTAAAAAGTAAAATTTAGTTTTCTCCTTGCTTAATGTAGTAATTTGTATTTCATTAACATATTACAAAATTTCATAAACTTTTAATATGAATCTTCAAAAAGTCATGCATATGTAGTATGGAGATGATAAAATATTTATTAATTCACTGAATGTAATAATCCAGTGTGTATAATAATTCACGAATAATGAATGAAGTTTCCCAACTACTGGGCCCTTGCTTCAATTTATTACTTGCTTATAAAAAAAGAAAATCTTCTATGAACATGAAGGTGCATCTACATCTTGAATACTTTTAAGTTAAAAAATTTTTGTATGGCAATTATGTAAAATGGATAAGATCTATTACCCTGTTTTTTTTTGTGTTCCTACCCAAAATTTCAGCATTTACAATAACTTGTTAAATAATTATTGGTAAAAACTATTGTTGTTAATAATTTTATGCTTCTTAAAAATATTCATATTTTTTGACAAGATTTTTTTTTCTCTTTATATATATTTACTAATAAATATATACATCTATGCCTTTTAATTGAATCTCCTTGAAAAAATATTCATTTAAATTTAATTCAATCTATCACTTTTATGACAGCTGAAGAAAATAGTTTCCCATGGACGGTTCAAAGAGGCAGTTGAGAGAGGTTAAGAATAAAAGAATTGTCACATCTGAAAAACAAGAATGAGTCTGAACATCAAAGGCATAAGAATTATTAAAGATGTTATGAAAACAAAGGTTACAGATGTTTACATCACTCTAAAAAGGATTAAATTGACGGCTAAAAGACTTCTAAACAAAAAGAAAAGAATGGGCAACCACTAATAAAATAAAATGTACCACAAGCAAAACCTAATACACATTCTGATAATCTTTTTTTCTAAAATTTTTGAACCTAATAAAGAAAGAGTATCAAGTGCTAAGTCAATGATTGATGAAGGCAACCAGCATTCTATATAAAATATAAAGCAAGAATGCATGAAGGAAATATAAGAAGCTCAAGCTCTGATAGATGCTGACCAGAGAATGTTGAATATTGCCGAATAAAATGTTCCCTATAAACATAACTTTAAGGATAGATTTAATTGTATTATTATCAATTACATAATTTGAATTTAGTCCAGTAAATTAAAAACGTTATTTTGAGATTGATAATCTATTATTAGAATCTTTATAATTTTGTTAATAAAATTAATGCTAGTTAGAAATTAATTAGGGTAAATTTTTATTTATTTAATTATTATGATTATATTAAGAAAATAGGCATAAAGCAATGTATTTTTAGTTAAAAATTCCCATATATTTTTGTTACTTCTATTCCTGTATGCATTAAAGAGAGACCATTATATTTATTTTAAATATTATAAAAAAAAAATTCCTATCTTGAAAACCTCTATCCATTCAAGCTTTTCTTACAAAATTTTTGTGCTTAGTAGATTTATGCTTTGTACTCATTTGTTTTCAATTTTACTTAATATTTTTTAATATAATGTTTCCTTATTTGTTTGTATGTTATAGATGAGTGTTATTTGGAGTTGGCTACCTTTAAGAATTTCCATGTCTCAACCAGAAGTAATTTATTCTTCAAATGAACACGGTGTGTGCCTAACAGCATTTTACATGACTGTAGGAGAGTGGGAACCTACAATTTTACTTATCAAGTCTACAAGTGATGAAGTAATTATTGTACAATTATTAGTATTCTATAGTTCGCATAATATTAGGATTAAACTTATGCTGTGAAACCTCCTGTTATGGACACTCCTGCAAAACGGACACCTCTCAATGAGGACATATTTTTAATTCCTCGTGAATCTTCTATGAATAAACCATCATGTACATTCTCGGCAAAGCGGGCGCTTCCATAACCATAAGCATTATTTTCTATCTCTTCAAACCGGACACTATTTTATCTAAATTTGAAAAGAATAAAACTTTTTCTTCTTTAAATTGCCAGAAAAAGTATGCAACTTTTCAACATTTTTAAAGCATGCAAATTTTGTGCCTTTTCCATAACTAAAAATATTCTTAAGCTTTTTCACCACTAAAAAATCAATTTTTCTCCTGTCACTTTGCCTTATCTTTGCAGAGAAAGGAGAGAAAATAATACTGCTCATTCGGATAGCAGCATCTTTTCATCTGGATGAAGCAGGTTATGAGACCCCAAATGAAATGACGTGTTAAATGTTCTCAATGCTTCTTCTCCACTAAAAATTTCTTTCACTTTCTTATAAATTTGAAGACTGTATTTAACACAGCTGGGGTGAAAAAAAAGATAATAGAGACATAATCTTTCATATGAATCAAACATTCATATGAATCAAAACAAGTTATATGACAGTGTTCATATGAATCAAACATTTATTCAGCACTTGATAGATAATTAATTGTGAATATATCAACTCCATAGATCCTCATGTCTTACAGGCAAGCATTGATTTGTTTTGTTTTCTGTGAATTGCAGGAGGTTTACTTTCAAGGAGGTATTAACCACGTTTCCTATCAAGTGATGGATAGGTGTTCCGGGGTGTAAACGTAATAATTGAAACCGACTAAGGACTAAAAGCTCTTATTCCGTATCATATGACTGACTTAAATATCTGTTTTAATAGGAAAATTATATTCATTTATCTGTAGCTACATCTAGAATTATGTATTTATATCAACTTTTTCACATATTCTTTTTGTATAGAAAAAAAATATTCTTTAAAGTTTTAATAAATACCCTTGTAGATAGTTATTGTAGCATATTTAATTATTTCTATATCATTGAAAATATTCTAAGAACAATTTACGGGGATAAACTTCGTTACTAGGGTACCCTTCCAAACAAGCAATTGTAAACAAGCAATTTTTTCGGTCCCAAGAGTGTTCACTTAACCGAGGTTTCGCTGCATATTTTGAAAATGTGTTGTATGTTATAATAAACTAAGAAATTATAATTTTCTTGCTTATAATGTTTTCCAATTATGAAACTTGTGGAATCAATTTAAAAACTACTAATTGATGAAAAAATATTAATTTTGGTTCTTAATCAATTAAGATACATAGATGATAATTTTATGAGTGATGTGACTCTATTAATAAACTGTACTTTATTATTAGTTTTTTTATTTTTTGAGTTTTTCTGCAAGATGCTAATAATTAAAATTTATCTTTACATTTTTATGTATTATAAAATTTCTTTACTTAAAGAAATTCTGTTTCTTATATAGGATAAAATATATCTTTAGGAGGTAATATTGATAAATTATGTAGCAATATTACAGAATATATTAAGGAAATGTTACATTATATGTAAGGGAAATGTATAATATCTATATATATAAAAGAAATGTATGTAATATTACTCAAAACTTTCTGGTAAGTCTGAGAATTTCATTTCAAAAATTGAAGGAAAGCAAATGCTTTCAAATTAAAATATAATCTTTCTGTACAGCATTGTCTATAAGGAATGCGTGTAGTACAATAAAATTTTTACATCTGTTTAAGCAAATTCAATTAGTTAACAAAAGCAAATTTAATTAGTTTTGTTTTGAAAGGTTTTGAACTTATTTTTTATCAGATTATTGGAGCGTATTGTTCTTCAGCTTGGAATGAGAGAAATTCAAGTGATGTTCAGAACAAAAAGTACACATATTTTGGAAATGGGGAAACATTTCTATTTACTATTTCTCCTGAACTGAGAAAGTATCACTGGGTTGGATCTGTGTCTGGTGAAGATGTGCCTCATTCTGCAAAATTATTTATGGCAGCAGATAACCATATGATCAATGTTGGTGCTGGGTAAGTTTACCCAGTTTATGTTTTAACCAGTTAATGTTTTAACCAGTTATATAAATTAATCTATCTTTATCAGTCAATATCATTAATTTTTAGTATAAAAAGTTTTGCCACTTTTTAAATTGGAAATGGTATCTTTTTGCTGTTATTTTTCAATCTGAAAATGAAGCTAAAAAAATTAGTTTAGTTTTAATGGGTGACACTGGGAAACAACTTTTTTTTGTACTATGTTGCACGAGATTTTTAAACAGATCTTAAATACCTTCATATTGCTGCCTTGCCTGCAATCTATTTCTATCTCCAAGCTGTAGTTTTTTTTTTTAATGACATTTTTAGTTCATTTTTTGTCGAAATATATAAGTTTAGAAATCTTATAAATAACAAGAAGTCACATAAATGTTACGACATACTTCTAGGGGAGTTTGATCCCATCATCAAAAATAGAATTGCTTAGGAATCTGGAAATGTCACGAAAGAGCGCTTCCGTATTATGAACTGATTTTTCGTTTGCTTCTGAACAGATCACAATAGGAAAACGTTCCACAATAGGGAAACTTTCCCTATGATGACATTTCTGGGTTAATGCAGTTTTATTCCTGATATGTGTCCTAACTCCTCTACAAGTCCGATGCAGCGATCATGTGACCTCCTGTTATATATAATGTTTTTAAACTTGTACATTTTGCCAGAAAATAATCTAAAAATGACATTTTAAAAAAATCTGTTGGTTTAAGAGCAAATATAATTTCAGATTTTAAATCTCCACACATGAGTTAGGTGATAGGTGAGTTAGGTATTTGCATAAATGCAATATAAAATTTATTTCCTTGTGTAATCCACAAAACCCCACCTAAGAAGACTGTGAAAGGAACCCTTCATGGCTAATTCTCTTTACTGATTTAAAATTTAAACTATATAAAAATATGAGTTCAGATATGACAATAATAAACTATAAAGTCAAAATTATTTTTTAAAAAAAATTTAAGGTCAAATTGCAAACAAATAATTGGCAGAATTAGTTGCTGTTTTGGAAAGGTGAATTTATCCAGTCATAATTTGCTTGCAATTCAATATTTTAGGGGAAAAAATGCCCTCTTTGTAACTTCGCAGTTTACTTTTGGGTTACCTGAACTCATATTATTTTTTATATATATTTTATAACTTAAATTATTAATGTATTTGTAAAAGAATTTGCCATAAAGGTTTTCTTTTGTGGTACAGTGTCTCCGCTGTATAATTTGTAACATTGGCCTTCTATCCAGCTATAACAGTAAAGGCTTCCCTCTTAATTCTTTCTTAGATGTGTTCTTGTCAGCATCTTGGATCTAACCGCAAAGTTTTTTAATGATTTAAAGTAATCATACGAAGAATATATCTTTAAAATCATTAATAAAAGTTAGAATTAACTGTTTAAAATTTTTAAAATAGCCAATTATTGTTTTTCCATACCCTTCCTTTTGATTATCTAATTTATATTATTTTGATTATCTAATTATATACTATTTTCTTGGTCATGCAATACAAATTTAAATCTGTTATATGTAAGCTAATAAATTTTTAATGCTATTGTATTTCTTTCTATTTCTGCAATAAATGTAATATAATAATTCTTAGTTTCCATGCATATTCAGAGACTGTTTCACCTTTATTTCTTTTGAGTATGTTTCCAGATAAAAAAAGTGTAATCAAAAAAATAATATTAAAAAAAAAAATTCATTTGAACAGTTTCAGAATTCTTATCCATTCACCAAATTATGTTGTTAAATAGTTTTTAATGTTCGATTTATAAAAATATGCATTTAATACATATTTGTATTATAATTAATATATTTATATTAATTATGATAGCAATGGACAGGGCCTTTTACTGGATGACAACCTTCTTTATGGAAGAACCGAACATTGTGATACATTCGACAATGAGCCACTGTGCAGCTCAAATAATTTTCAGTGTAAAGTAGTTGAAGTTATTGGCTTTAAGTAATCAATTTTGATTAGCTGAAGATCTGAGAAAAATATATATTTTACATTTTTGCTTCTTAAACTTGTAAACCATGACTTTATCTATAATCAAAATTATATATTTTATATTTATAGCATTAAAAATGCTTATGCTTAAAATATTTTTTACTTAAGATTAAACAGTAGAAAGATTAAAAAAAAATTTTAAATATATAAAATTCATGATTTTACTTTAAAACATATGCTGTTAAACTTCTGTACTATTTTTTATCGTGCATGTAAGTTTCTTCTAATGTTATAAGTTTGATAGTCCATTTTTTTGAGGAGTTATATTCTGTTATACTCAGATCCTTGTTATAATTTACTAAATGGTTAATTCAACATTTTTTAATGAATGTCTTTTTAATCATATTTCTATTATTAAAATTTAATTCAAGAATTTATATTGCAGATTTAAAAAATTTTAAAATATTATCTTTTTTAACAAAAAGATATGTTTTAGTTCAAAATATGTTTGTTTTAGATTTGCAAAATATTGTTTTAATTTAATAACTTGTTCCAAAATCTACAAATTTGCAATGTAGAAATGCTATTAAATTCTTTGCTCAAAGGAAGCATTTACAACCCTTTAATTGATTTGAGGACTTTTTTTATCAGCTTTATTATTTATTTGTATTTCTAGTAAAAGTAGTTTTGTTGTGTAGTCTTTAGTATAGGTTTTGGATTTTTGCAATGTTTGCTCTCTTTTACAAAATTACTCATTTGAAAAACGCTCATCTGATAAACCTGATAATGATTTATTTGGTTTCATGTTTACATTTGTAAACATTTGAGTCTCATTCATAAATGTTTATATTAAATGAATAAAATAGAATTTTTTTTTCATCCTTTATTTACCTTTTTTATTGGTAGAAAACAAATACCAATAGAAATAATTTTAAATGTATTGTTTAAAATTATTCATATAAAAGACATGTGTCTTAAAGTTATTAATTAGGGAAATGATTTAAACTTTCTAAGTAGTGTGCAATTCTCTTTTGATTATTTTTGCTTTTAATAAGATTGGGCATGTGATTCTTCCTCTAATTCATGGCATTCCACGAGACTGTTGATTTGTGGACTTAAGCGAATCAATAATTTATATTCTTGCAAAATTTTTATATTAAATTTTATTTTATAACTAAGGCAAAATCTTGTAATCGAGACTTTTATTCTGCACTTACCAGCTCTCTCTTTTCTTTCTTTTTTTTTTCCTAAATTCTAAATCCTTGATTTTTTTCGCAGATTTGTTGAAGAAAAACGCAACTTCAGATAAACTTCCAAAACATGAGACTGAAAAATGTAAAAAAATCTATAATAAATTCGTCTAGAATTAATGAACTACTGAGGCTAATACAAAAGTATAAACTTGATTACCTAAAAAGTAATCCCAAGATAGCAAACATTTCAAAGGGTCGCTTTGCTAGTAAAAATGGTGTTTTTTCTCATTTTTTTTAAACTTATATTTTAATGAGTTATAATTTTGTTGCAAAGAACTTTTTAATAAATATGATATAGGTCCTCCTTTTTTTTTTATTTGGCTATAATTAGATCAAATTAGTTTTTAATATAATTTTACGGCATGGCAATTTCGAAACGTGCATTTCAGTGATCTCTTTTCAGTGCACGCTATACCATCTTAAATCCGTTTTTCAATCTTTTTTTTCTTTTGCAGTTAATGCTATTGATTCTCTCATGATTTTTGAAATTCTGATATTATTACAATGTGCAAAATTTGAATTGTGCAATTGAGTAATCACTTTTTGATGCGCTTGATTTGCAGTGATTCCTTTGTAAATCCATAGGTGTTTCGATCATTTTATCAGCTATTATTGCTACCAATTTTCGCAGTTATCTTTTTTAGATCGCTATATATTTCTGCATTCAAATCGTGCATTAATTCGTCACTGTTTTGATCGACATTTCATCAGTTATTGCTGATATCTACGAGTTTTTTTTTTATTTCGATATTTTTATACAATATTATTAAGAAACGAGAAATTTGAATCGCGCATTTGAGTAAATACCTTTTCACATGCACCATTTGCTCTAACTCCATGCAGTGTTTAGATCATTTTTCGTTTCGTTTTTCTGCCGTTATTGTTCTTAATTTTCACATGATATTTTAAAATTCCGATATTATTATGATACAGGAAATTCAAATCGTGTACCTGAGTATTCACTATTTGACGCGATAATTCTATCATCTTTTCAATCAATTTTTCGACTTCGCATATTTTTTAAAATCTCAATATTTTAAATACAATACTATTTATTACTACACGTGATTACTCAGGTGAATCTCTTAATTGACCACTCTTTTCTTTTTTCAGTTATTGCCGTAAATTTCACAGTTTTGTCTATCCTTTTTTTTATTTTTTAAATGCACAGACTACTTGCAAAGAGTGATAAAGCAGGAATATGTTGTAAATTTTTTTTTCAATATATTTTTTTTAATTCTTTACTGTGTTGACGAGAAAAAAAGTTGGATAAAAAAAAATTCTCTTTTTAAATTCTATAAATTTTACTTTTGTGCATAGAAATTAGCTTTTTTTTTATCTACTGTGTAATATATATATATATA